GTCGATGTGTGCTCATGTCTGTTGCCAAGTCATGCCGTTATATATCCGAGGTGGAAGATCTCTTCACGACAAAAGGTCTTCATAACGAAAACGATCCTCAGTCCCTCGCTTCCGAACAATTCATCTTGCCCTGAGGTTCATTGGCAGTAGCAGAGAAAATGAGACCTCACAATGTCCATCGTAGATTCGGATGGACTTGCAGCTTGTCATTCAGACATTGCATCGCGGCTGCAACGTGCCACTCCTTTCTCCTCGCCAACGACAACGCAGAAGTGCTTTATAGGCGAAAGACTGGAATTGAGAGCAACTCAGTAAGCACGTAATGAGCCCGCAGATATGGGTGCCTTGTAACAATCAATCCAGGCAGGCTTTTCTTGCTTGTGATAGCTCAATGTTGGTTAACGAATGAAGCTCCAGCGGACTGCTAATTGGTAAGTAAACTGTAATCAAGGGGCACCTAGCGGCTCGAACCCCTCGATGTAGCTGCTCGTAGCATCGGAGTACGCTAACCATGTAAGTAAGACAGGAAAGGCAGAACCAGCTCCCATGAGGCTTGCGTGTTCAAGACGCAGTATGATTGGCACCTCAATGCTTTAGAGATGTCTCCTTTGGGTCCTTTGAAGGTTGACAGATCTCAGAGCCGGTGTTAGTTGCTGTTATGTAAGGCAATGCCGACAACTGCTTTAGCCAGTTAGGGTTGATGAAGAATTACGGGTAAGAAAGGGGTTGTTGACGTCGTCATTACCCCATATCATCTTTACCTCCGTCCTTTGGCCGATAGCGAGCGTAGGTACTGCGTAAAACCGAGGGATCACCAAGTCCGCTCAGCCGGTTAAAAGGGAGATGGAAAAGGCCGACGAATACAGCAAAGAGCAGAGTCAATGCAAATCCATTTTGGAAGGCTGTGTATAGCCGATCGGTTTCATCTGGTTTCCCGGGCCCAGCTCTGTTGCTCCACACATTCCGCAATTTAACGCCCCGTGGTACAGGCACTGCATGGAGGGAAATATGGAGGGGTGGAGTTTCTGGGGATCAAAGTCCGGGGTAACCGCCTTAACAGGTCAAGAGATTCGCTCTCGTGACGACGGATTCCCCCAGGCTCAACACCATGATTTCCCCTTTGGCAACCCCCAAGCCCATGCGCTGGTCTGACGGGCGTCGGGCTCACGGTCTGTCTGGTTGCGCCGGGGCGAGAGGTGCCAAATCACCGCGAACCACTTGTCGTGGGTTGCGAGAGCGCTGCTTGCTGCTTGCTGACTACCGGTACAACCAACAGGTCACGAGCATTTCCAGATACTCCATTCATATACTTGGGGGGGGTTTCAGGTGTCAAAGGCGGGGTAAAACAGACTCGGGAATTGAGTTGGTACGCCCAAATATTCATCGTGAATGGCGAAATGGCTTGATGCGTGTCAGCCCCTTTCAGATGTGCGAGATGGCCTGCCGTCGATGATGCCGTAAAAGCCTGGGTCGAGAACAAATAAGCCCTCTTTTACACGCTTGCTAGGTGACAGGGCAACATGGAAACATGGAAAGAATTACCGATTCAAAGCAAGGGGCCGTGCGATTCTTTCTTTTCGGCAACACCACTGGACGCATTAATAACGGTGTTGACATTTGACGCGGAGTGACGGGCTCGCCGGGCGGAGCCATGATGGCAGCCCATGATCTGGCACATCCAAGCGTTGCCATCCGGCCGAGGGAGATCCTTTCTTGACAGCGGGAGAAGTCGGAGCAATGCAGGTAGATGTTGCTTGAACGAATGCTTTGAACATGCCGTTCCGTCGGCAGGTCATGCTCGTCCAAGCATATCACGTGCCAGTGGAACCTCAAGGTGACAACAAACCACCTCATGGATAGTCTAAATGCTGAAATTGCCCGCTTGGTTGCATGCTTCTTGGAGGTCCTGGTCGTTCGGTTTTCTGGAAGGAAGGAATTCGGAGACGAAAGAGGAAGTGTCGAACTTAGTCCAAGCGAGGCCGGGGGGCGAGGCTGTTCCCTTGGCTCCTCTCGCCGTGGGCCCTGGAAGATCATGGGCGGTACCTGTCCAGTGGTTCCTTCCTTCTAGACTCTCAGGTACCGGTACTTGTACATTGCAGATGGAGACTAAGCTGCCCTGTGCTTGAAGAATCGAACTTCATCTGGGGTGAGAAGCGACGAAGGGCAGCCAATGAGATGCTGTCAGTTGGCCGAAATGCTTTCAAGGTTGAAGTTCAAATTTCCTTCTGGATGGCCCTGATGACCAAAATGACCTTTTCGAGTACCACCGTACACCCCCATGACGGTCCGAAGCGCGGGGGTTGCCGCGCAACGTGATGGCTATACTTGAAGAACTTTCTTCACAAGTTACGGCACGGGGGCGGTCTTTGAAAATTCGACTCATCCGCCCGATTTTCGTCCCGTCTGTGCTGGTGCGGGGGTCGCAAGGTACGGCGCTCCGGAATAACTCGAGATCGGGGCTGTCGTCGTTCAAAGCCAACGTGTTCAACCGACCTACTTGTAGGATCCGACCACTTCCCGGTGTAGATCGAAACTCTGGGACCGGTGAGCAAAGAGGTGACTTTTAGGGCCTTGACAAGTTGACGGAGGGTGGCATCACCAATTTCACTGTTGCATCCAAGAACCGGCGGACGACCCGACCAAGAGATTGAATCGAGCAAAGAAGGCATGGAACGCCGCACAGGCGCAATGCAATTTACTAGGGGACCGAGGATCGAGTTAATAAACGAGAGCATGAAACCAATGCTGGGAATCCCGGAATTCCCATTTTATGGACATTTGAACTCCCGTCCGTCCTCTTGACTAAAAGAAAACAGCCGTTGACCAAGCAGAGAAGCCGAACAAGGTCACACGGGCGTTGCGTGCCTTAATTGCCCCCTGTCCTTCATTCCATTCCAGCCGGACCATCCAGAACGCTTGGGAGGTTCAGCGTGATAAAGCGGGCCAACCGCAAGCCTCCGTCATTCTCAGGTGGCTTTGAGGCTCACCCAAATGGAAAGTCACCAAATTCACCAAAAACTACCCCCGTCAGTGTCCGCCGTGCCCGCGTTATCCCCCAGAAAACTGGAAAGCGGCCTTCTCACCTCAACCACGCCATCTCATCTTGTAGCAGGGCTTCCGCGCTTCAACGAATTTTCCGTCCCGACTGAGGCGGAAATTGCTTCATCAGATCTCGGGCTCGCCTGCCCCTACACTACTGTACTTGAGAGCAAGCTTGCTCGAGCTTGTTCCTGTAAATGGATGCACGGGCACTCCCAGACCGCCTCCGCTGCCGTTGTCTTTCTTCTCTCGAGCTTCGGCAGCACACGGAACAGAGCAGCATTGGGGATGGTTTTTTTTTTCTTGCCTAGCTCGTTTTTCAACCTGGAATCCCTGTTCCATTTTCACGTCGTCCCCCAATCGCGAATCCCCGAGCGACTCTGGCAGGCTTTTTTGGCCGCTGTACCCTGGTACTTGCTGGAATTGTAATTTCATCTCTCTTCCCCGGATTGTTAGTACCGTGGTGAGGATGATTCACCACGGTGACCAACACTCAACAATAGCCACTCACCTCATGTTCCACGCGTCACGAAAAGTGTGGACGAGGCTGGAAATGAGATGGAAGTAGGTATAGTAGCAGGCCGTTTGCGAACTGTATGATAACCTGGGCCAACCGTCGTGCTGTTAGCCCAAAGCTGTTGAGCACTGGACGAGCCGTTCATCGCAACTCGAGGCCCAGAGAGGATAGAAAAGAATGGTGTAACCTTTGACCCACAGGCGGTTCTCCGGTTTTCGATAGGAGTGATCGTTCGGACCCGGACTCTGAACGCCTTCCACCTCCATTGGATGTCAAGCTATGCCATGTAGCTGCCTTGTTTTGCATGCTCAGTTTAGAGGTAGACATCTGGAGAGCTTAAGACCGGTAGGTAGGTAAGGTACATGTATGCAGGTAGGTTGAGCACACAAGCCCAAGAGTTAGATCTGTATATATCGTCAAAAACAGATGTCAAGTGCCCATTGCGAGCCTGTAGCTCAGCGATGCTACCATCTTCTTGGTCATCATCGTATGGCCAAATTGTGCGACCGCTCGCGTACATTTGCGCGACCTGATGACAAGCCGTCTATGGTATAAATCCAACATGCCACCCTCGAAGTACCGGCTGTTGTGTATGCCTTCCCGATTGAGAACTGTGTCGGCGGCGGAACCCCCATGCTCTGGCAACCTCAGAAGCGACCTTGGTTGCCAGACTTCTAGAGGTGAAGTGTACTTGCCCGCTCGCTGGAAGATACCTCTAATGAACGGTACTTACCCCCAAAGCAACCTACAACATACGCCCCCCGTCGACCAAGCAGCGAAGGAGCCCCTCTCACTGTCTGGCCCCGACCCAACCATCCCACGTTCTAAGTTCTGCCGCACACTGTTGACAGGGGCGGCCGGGCAAGGGCCTGCCTACCACGGACGACCACGGGCATTTGATACCCACACCCGCTTGCTTACCTTTTAGTGCCTTTTCACTTAACTACACCCAACTTCCCTTCACACTGGACCGGTCACCACACACCTGCACACCCTTTCAAAGGAACTTCTCTTCTCCGTCCACCACCTTGCGCAAACTCCTCCCCTCTGGCCTTCCCGAACCCGGTGCGCTCGCTCAGTGCTTGAGCTTCTCTTGTTTGTCCTTTTTTTGCCCTTGGATCCCCGCTAGTCCATCGTCACCTTAACAGCCGAGCCCTGTCACCTGTGCCAGCCTTGCCCCGTCTTTTCGCGACATGCCCATGTCCCATCTCGATTGACGGCGCTATTCTTGCACCCACCACGAGCCCTCTTTGTTCGCGAGACTCGCTACGAGACCGAAAGCAAAGCGGCGACAACCCAAATCTTGCCCCGGACCCCGACATTGCTTCGCTTCACCTCCTGTCCGAGGAATACTTATGACGGGCTTTTCTGGTCGCACGTTGGAGAAGGATTGAGAAGGTGGCTTGCAGGTCACCAGGATTTTTTTTTTTCAGAATTTTCAGCCATGGCCGTCGTCATCACGTCTGACGACGACACGTTTTTCGGGGCGCCCTTGCGTCGATCTCAGTCGCAGCCCAAGTTCAACACAAAACGCTCGGGTTTCCACACGTCGGCGTCAACCTCCAGGCTCAGCGACATCTATCACCACTCGTCAAAGGCCTTCGACCACTCGGCCCCGTCTTCGGCGCCGTCCTCCCCTCGCGGCATTCACCTCGAATCATCCGAACTATCGGATTCTTCTACGCCTGTCACGAATCCCTCTCTTACATCGGACAGCGATGACGAAGATGTATTAGAAGCCGCTATTTCGAGGAGAGGCTTTGGGGGCCGCCTTCCGCATTATGAGGAGGATATGGGTTACTTCAACCATGTGGAGCATTCGGGACCCCCACCCAGCCCACGAACAGATCAGTCGTACACTTCCTCGCCGTCTGGAAATGATACGTCTACTCCCACTTCCCGTCCGGAGAGTCCGGAGCTGGTTTATGAAAGGGCTGAGGACGACATAGCGATTAAAATACAGCCTTCCAGGCATGTGGACTATCTCTCGCACAACTGGCGCGAGGAGGACATCTGGTCATCTTGGAAGCATATTGTTGCTAGAAGGGGAGATTATGCCAACTCGGCTCGGCTAGAGAATGCCTCTTGGAGAACGTGGATGAAGTCTAAGAACAACCTCGGCACAGTTTCTCCAGAGACGTTGAACTGGTATGTTCTCCGGCTGGCTTTTCTACCTTCGCGTTCTGGGTAACTGACAATTTCACAGGCTGAAAGATTGCGATGTGACATGGCTATACGGGCCCTTGCAGACCGGTGCTTCAATACACTCCAACAACTCGAGTAACAATAGTGCAAGGATGTCCAAGACAAACTCGTTCGCGAAAAAGCCCATTCTGAAGAAGAGGAGCATGTCGGAGCTTATGCTTCAGAGATCTCTATCCGCTTCATCACTCGTCAAACAGGCGGCGGCAGCTGTACAAGCGCAGCAGAAAGGATGTCTCAAGAAGACAGGTCGACGACCTGGTCTAGACCGAGCCAACACCGATTTTGTCACATTCCCATTCTCCTCGCGCGGCCTCAGCACTGACAACAGTCTGTTTCCGACGGCCGTGTCTTCCGGTCTTGTATCTCCTAGCGGTGAGCGAAAGCACATCCACTTCAACGAGCAGGTAGCACAGTGCATTGCTGTGGAAATCAAAGGGGATGATGATGAAGACGACATCGAGCCCGAAATCAACTACAACAGCGATTCGGATGACGGCGCCATCATGATGAAGCGGACTAAAGGGAAGAAGCTGAGACCTGTTTTGAAGAAGACAAAGAGTCACAGCCACAGCGGTGGAGAGAGCAAGACAATTGCCATGCTACCCTCAACTACCCTCAAATATCGGGAGGACACCCCCGAACCAACGGAATCGGCCATGAAGCACAGCACTGGTGTGTTTAGGGGAACAGTATTGTCCCCTTCCTCATCTCAGGAGACGTTACGTCCGGCCAAGAAGTCCGGCAGATTTTTTGTTGACAGCGATGACGAGGAGGATGAAGACGATGAGGAACCAACGTCAACATGGTCCTCTGCAAAGTCCGCGGAAGGATCGCTCGGCGGACTCCGACGTTCAACTTCGTCTGCCAGTCTTTCAAAAGAACCAGCTGGCATGAGGAGAACCGAGTCGGGCATGTTCATGCCATACGAGCAAGGCGAAAACTCGAACAGTGAAGGCCTTCTAGGCCGGGTCATTGATACGGTAAATACGGCCCGGGACATAGTCCACGTTATCTGGAACGTTGGGTGGAAGAGATAATCTACCACTTGGCTAGACCACTCTTATTAACCAAATCCATTTTCCAGAAGGAGGCCACGGCGAACAAACTAAACACGCAACGATTTCGACTCGGCTGAGGTTTTCCAATCTGGAGAACACTGGAACACAAAACAATTCCGCTCGATGGGCCACCATCCAAACATCGCATCTGATGTTAGAGTATGGCGCGCAAACGTGGATCCGGAACAACGACCACGACGACGACCTGCCTGCATCATCATTTCAGAAGCGGCAACAACCGCAGATATACCCCGGAAGGTCTCGAAGGGCCTTCCGGTTGCATTGATCACGACAACGCGAAAGCATGCATTGGCCATGGTGTTATAAGGTTATTTTAATGGTACTTGGCTTTTTGTTCTTTTTCTTTTTCTTTTTACCCCTTTCTTTTTCAAAAGCCACTCGGTTCAGAGCTGGCAGGGAGAGAGCCTGGCGCACGAAGGAATGGACTAGGTGTTTGCCATATCGATCATCAAACAGTCAATGCCACTTTCCAAGTTGTGTCTTGCGTTGCGTCTGACTATGGGTTCGGTTCGGCTCGGATTCGGGTTTCCGGTAACGGGTCGAGGAGGCTTATACAGCAGGCTTTTTCGAATTTTTACTTGGCTTTGCTTGGGTGTTGGGGAAAGACAAAAATCTGCAGAGGGGAGAAAACCGATATTTTGCGCTTTATGGCTTTGGATATTGCTCCTTGCCCTCAGGCGGATAAGTGGAGCTAATATGGTCGGGAAATCAGCTCGCAGGACCTGAGGGTGGCGTTCGAGCGCCAGGTGCATTTCCACGGCGTTGGACGGAGAAGGCAAAAGGAAATAAAAGCGCGTCTGGCGCTGTTTTGCGCGTCAACTCATCCTAACATTCATACCCCCCTATCCATCCCTCGGAGGCGGCGCAAGCAATAGGTGGCCGCAGCATTCTTATGCCCGATGCTCTGTAGCGAGCGAGGGTCTAGTTATGCGGCTGAGAGTAATTGAAAACACCACTGTACAACATCTGCATAGTAACAAACAAAGGTTCTAGGCCATAAGTAAAATTTCGAACTGCAGCTCAACCTTGTGAATTCTGGCTCATGAGGGTATCTTCATGAAATGTTAGTTTAAAATGGTGTTGTTCAATACCGTACCATTCAACATGGCATTCGATGCCAAGCCTGTACAAAGGTACTTTCTGTACTGCCAGCTGGCGGGGCCGCAGTTACACGCTGAGCAAGGGCCGCCCAAGCTGATGAACGCGTGCGTGGGGAGCTGCCTGGTTAGTGGGCACCTGCGTGTAGGGAGCTCCAAGCTGCCCGCCTTCAACTTGCTACCCACTGCCGCTGACGCCGCCATAGCTGCTACCTTGCCAGGCTAACAACAGTGAACGAACGCCTCCACTGACAACCCATTCAACGTTAACATCATCACCATCATCTCAACCCGTCGTCTTCCAACCTCCGCCGTTGCCTTCCCCGCCGAACATATCTCTCCCTCGCAACAATCTATACAGCTTCCCGAAGTGTCTTTGGGAACCGCCGAACCGCACACCGAACATCGAACACTCCTCCATTCAAACCACTTGATCGATCATCATGGATGCGCTTGTTGCAAGGTACAGCCGTCCGGCCTACCAGCAGAATGAGCTCTTCTCGGAAGAGGAACAGCAAGACCTTTGCGAAACCCAGCCTCCTTTGTCTCTCAAGTTCTCCATGCCTCCAGTAGCTCATGTGCGTCTCCCTAATCATTACCCCCCCCCCCCCCCCCCCCTCC